GTAATTGTTAAAAGAGATCAACCGAAAATGCCCCACAGCATTATTAACTTGACTCTTCCAGGAATCACAATTACACTCGAGAAAGAGGCTGACGGCAAATGCCCATCTCTTGATGTCCTCCTACAGGGAAAGACTGACGGGACGTTTCACACACGAGTTTAACGTAAGGAGACCTGCCTTGTTTAATTTCCGAGGAAATTAATGCGCAAACTTGGAATAAATCTTTCGAAACGGGCCTTTTCAGGCACGGTCCAAATTTTGATATGAATATTTGAGCTGAAATCCGTCAGCTGCTGCGGAATAACCGCTTAACATTCACGAACCGCCAACAGGCAGCCAGTAGTATAGAACTGTGCTATGATTTACCGTACAAACAACACAGGCATTAGCTAAAAGCCCAGGCACGCGTGTTTTGCCGATCTTATGCAGCTGCCTGACGCAGCTGCGAGGGGTTCGGCTCGTCAGTGGGCCCCCCAGCTTTCCTACGCAAAAATTCTTTTACATTACGAGAGTAATCACCTGATCTCTCACAAACGGAGTGCCGTGAACAGGTTACTTAACCGAGCAACAACTCACTGCTCTGACAACAGAATCCTACTAGACTGAACTGAATTATTTGTTCAACCTCTTTTCCCAAAATGGGCATTTTAGAAATTGGCTAGATAGCAGTTGTTAGCCCGGAATGGGAAGCGGACTCGACCTTAACCCTAATCCCAACCTTAGCCCTAACCCTAAGCTCAACCGTTGCCGTTAACAGTTAACCCTAACGAAAACCCTAACCCTAGCCGAAATCGTAAACGTAACCGTAGCCCTTAGACATAGCCGTAACTGAGAAGCCTAACTGTAATACTGGAACTTATTCGTACGCTCAAACCCTAACCATAATCAGAAAACCGAAGCCTAAAGGCATAACCCTAAACGGAAAATCGGAAACCATTAACCGGTACCCTAATCCTAACCCCAAACGTAAAACGGGAGCCAAATGTGTCCGATGTGACTATGGAGGCCCACAAAACAACCCCAGTAAACAACCCCCCAGCCATCTGTAATGCGGCTCCGGACTACCAACTACGATATAGCCTAGAAATTATGTACATCGATGCAGAGGCAACAGGAGCTAAAAGAAAAAGACAGAGAACTAGATTTTTCAGATCAAGCGCCCAAACTAAAAACTGGGGAGCACTTCCGAACATAAAGAACGGATCCGAACTAGTCGAAATACGCCTGAGGAAGTACCAAATACACGAGGTGCACAAACCGACGACTGAACTTCGTTACCAGCTTGTACACCCTAAGGTTAGTTTTGGTTATTTGGATGAGAACGAAGTTATATCTAAGATACAATACGCCACCTGTAATGCGGTTTACTATAGTCAAGCTGGAAAATCTGCCACCACACGCATACACGAACATCAGCTGGAAGTAAACGGGTGAGACCACTAGTTCCAGGTTCCTATACACAGCCTGGAAACTGGACACAGACTGACCTGGAACAAGACTCACATTATAGGTTTCTGCTCAGCTATGAAAGAGCGACAATTTTTAGAGGTTATTTATTCTGATAATTCATGCATCAATAGACACATCGAACTAGTTGATGTGTACAACGATCACAAGGAAAAGGGGAAAAGGCGTTAACCAATCAGGACGTGATGTCAACCCGCAGTAAAGGCTGACTGGCAGGAGTGACAGACCAATATCGACTTTTCGGACGTTTAAATCGTAACGGTTTTGCATACTTACTACACGTCTGACGAATTCTGAAGCTAAAGTCGAAAATTTGCGAAATAAGTTGTGATATCTTTTCCAAAGGACTAATTTCTTCCGAAATATGTATGTTACACATAGTAGAATGCGATTAGTCCTTTGCAAAATGCGACAGACCTTATTCCCTAGATTTTTGACACTGGTTCCCGAGGTCGACTTCAGAAATGGGCTAAATGTGCAAAAAAGTCGAAAAATTTTATTGTGCCTAGAATCGATACTGCCCACCCCTCCCTGCCTATAAGTCGCGACCACGGGTTACACCCCGTGCAGGTTGGCTGTCGCTTCTTCCAGCTTTCCCTTTCAAATTGTTCTCGGAATATTGGTAAATAGTTGGCGGTCTTCAGTGTTTTCAATTGAATGCCCATAAAGAGAGAGAGAAAGACATGCTTTACTTTGAGAACCTCATTCCAAAATATCAACAAAAATGTACACTCTGTTCTATTTGTTTAGTAAAATATACCTTGAAAATATTTATTGAAGTAGTAATTTCTTGGCCATTCTTCCAAACGCAGACGGCCGTTTGGGTCATATTTGTAGGCTCACCTAAACATGGAACCTCACCGCCGAGATAAATGAACGGCCGCAACAAAATTTGGTAATTAATATGCTCAAGGTCAATTGAAACACCTCTAATATGTTACCTCTTAAAAGGTTCCGTAATGAGATAGTTCGCTGACGGGTGCCTGCGTACTTTGTCTTCCTCCGAGATAAAGTACAGTTAAAAATTGGAACGTTTTGTCAGCTTTTCCCCTTTCCCAAAAAATAATGATAACATCTCTTCTGCAAACTAAATAACCCACTTTTCTCCTTATATTACAGCTATTTTCGTTATATTTGCTTACTTCAAGGCTCCGTTCTGATTATAAATGCACAACAGAAGTGACCATGCAAAATAAAATGAAATTATCAGAAATGTTAATTTTCTGCCTAATCCGCTTCTAAATTATGAAGCTTGACCATACAAAGCTAAACTATCGTACGTTTGCAATCTAACATAGCCACTTCGTAAAGGGTTTTTTAACCGTAATTTGTTCAGTAGTCGCAAAGGGTGGAGAAATATCGGAAAGTCTAAACAAAGGATTGTTTGTGGGCGTTATTACTACGTTTTGAGGCATAAAGTCACAGAGATTTGAAAACTCCACTTTTTATAATCGATTAAATTGCTAGCTGTCCAAACATAACTTTCTTACTAACACCCTGGCCCATCTGATTTATGCGGTGAAACTCCCAAGAATAGATTACTCTTTTCTCATGAACGAACACGGGCGGATGAGTAAACTTAGCATATAACGGTTATTGGCAAGGGATACCATCCATAAGGACACAATCTCCAGACTTGAACCTATCCCTTCTCCTAGGCGCCAAGTCACTGTCGCAACTGGTCGGTCATCTGATGCAGGGATTGGGTGCAGTGGCTGAGAGCCTTCCAAGCCACCTCATCTTCTCTTCTCTCTGGGCCACAAAAGGTCCACTGTTCGATCCGGTCGTACATCAAATGTGAGGATTGGGTGCAGCGGTTAACAAATCTAAACGGCTCGTTTACGCGTGCCGCACACGACCCGGCTCCCCACACAGTACACTAGGTCTGCACACAGAGAGGAATGATGTGCGGTACTGAAACTGGCAACAGCTATGCATCAGAGCATTTTCGCGTCAGCACACGTCGGAGGGATTGCCCCTCGTTCCCACTCCGAATGCTTCGTGTTGGAAGTCCTGTTGGAAAAATGCGAAAATTCAGTACATTTGAGGTCCTTAATAAAAAGACACCCGATCTCCCTCTGTGGGTTAGATCGATGGAGGCGGCAGTAAATGGTCCCTATTGAAGTCCTCCGTCCGGGAAACGGTTAAATTAGGTCATGGACTCACTTAGGGGGTGGAGTCTCAGCTGCTGGATTGGCCCAGGAACCCTACAACTGTTTACCCAAACCGCAACGCACCTTGGCAACACTGTGACGTGGCCACCATGAGTCGCTAGTAAACATTTTTATTGGCATCGCTGCTTTACGGTTAGGCTCCCGAGCCAAAGAGTTAGAGGAGACAACCTCGAACAAACAATCTGAGCTGCTGCTGGACATCCGCCTGCACTCAAAATTCCAAAGAAAGTTCGTGGAAAATGTCCAGTGGCCCAGTTGAGGATTGCTTTGGCCGTCCACAGAAGGCGATCCTAAGTGAGGGTCAGATGCAAACTAGGCAGACTCTAGAGTCTGATAAGTAATCAGTCGCGAACAGCGCAACGGTATTGCCTTCGGCTGTGACTGGACACTTGTCCGCCGGATCGGTTTTCTGCAGGGCGGATGAGGGCGAAAATCGACAAGTTTAGGACTCACACGCAGTCGATCCGACGAGCTGCGGTTTAGATTTTAGAATACCTAGGGGCTAGGATCCGCCCATTTCTGACACAGGGATGGGCTTCAGTGGCTGACAAAACTAAAACAACCTGCCAATAGAAGCGAAGACGCGAATTCCAGGAAACATTCACGAAGAAGGAGAGACAATTGCTGGAACAAGAACTGCCAACTGTGATAGACAGACAGCGGCCTATAAAAGTACATACAATAAGTACTGCAACATTTGGGGTATTTACTACCCTTATCTGACACTGTCTCTAATGATGGATCTGAGTGAAATTCCGAAGCGTCAGGCTAATAAAGCTCTTGTTTCAATGATCGTGCCTCCTTTGCTCAAACTGCCTGTCTGCACATGTCACACGCGACCTGCATAGAGCATGTCCACCAGATTTTTACACAAAGTGATATTCAGCTTGCATTTAACTGTGTGGGAGTGCTGTAAATGACACATTATGAAGGCGCCATCGAGTCTGGCTCGGAGCTCACTAGTCGGCAACTCCACACAAAAGCACATACGACCTACAGCGATGTCTGATTTGTTTATTAGTTGGCTGCGTTCCAACACAAGACGTTTAGCGCCTCGGGGCAGATTCAGGCGAGTCTGGTGTGTTATAGTGAGGAATGAGCTCACCGTCGTACGGAAGCGGATCCCAGGTTTGGCCTCGAGCTCTCTTCCTCCTCAATTGCACCAGTTGACTGTCCAAGTCGGTGAATCAACTGATATGGAGATTGGGCTCACTGGCTGACAGAACTAAAGCAGTCTGACCGCGCATGCAAACTGAGCGCACTCCCCTCCCTCCAAAACATAGCGTACCAGGTTTTCACGCAACGGAAGACATACACACACAAATTGCTGAGGATCCGACGAAAGCGCAGGCCGCATCAATGAAAGAAGAAGAAGAAGAAGAAGAAGAAGGGGAGGAAGAAGAGGATGAAGAGGAAGAGGAAGAGGATGAGGAAGAAGAAGAGGATGAGGAAGAAGAAGAAGAAGAAGAAGAAGAAGAAGAGGAAGAGGAAGAGGAAGAAGACGAAGAAGAAGAAGAAGAAGAAGAAGAAGAGGAAGAGAAAGAAGAAGAAGAGGAAGAGAAAGAAGAAGAAGAGGAAGAGGAGGAGGAGGAGGAGGAGGAGGAGGAAGAAGAAGAAGATGAAAAGGAAGAGGAAGAAGAAGAAGAAGAGGAAGAGGAGGAAGAAGAAAGTGAACGAGCTCAGTCGGAGAAAGCTCATAAATCCCGCGGACTCCAAATTTCTGACTCCCAACGACACCCGTATCGCACATGCTTATAGCCTCCCAAAGGTGCACAAAGCAGATGCTCCGTTGAGGATCATAGTGCCGCTCATTGAATTGCCTGCATATAACCTTGCCAAATGGCTGTACATGCACCTAAAGCATCTCATCAATGGATGGCAGTACAGCATCAACAACTCTCATGCTTTCCTTCAGATGATCCAAGGCCTTAATGTAAGCCCCGATGAATGCATTTTACCGTTTGATGTAGTTGCTCTATCTTCCTCAATACCGCATAAGTTGACAACTTAGAGAGTAGCTCGAAGCCTAGAGGAAACTCCAATCGGCATTCCAACACAGCAAGTTTTAGACATGCTTGGGCTCTGCCTTAAAAACTATTGTCAATTCGATGGCAAGTATTACCAACAGGTTAAGGGAACCCCAATGGGTTCACCGATATCGGGCCTACTCGCCGAACTAGTCTTACAAAGACTAGAAGAACTTGTTATTCAAGCCATGAGACCAAAGATGTGGCTCCGCTATGTAGATGATACCTTCATAGTCATAAAAAACTGCGAAGTTGAACGACTGCACCAGAGTCTTAACGGTGTCTTTCCCGCCATACACTTTACTCTCGAAGAAGCAACTGGGGACATCCTCCCTTTTCTCGACGTCAGTGTACAAAGACTGAGTGATGGCAATCTCGCAACCACCGTCCACGGAAAATACTTCGGTGCCGAAATCCTCAACTACGGGAGCAACCATCCTGCGGCCCACAAAAAAAGCTGCGTCCGAACTCTTTCTCACCGCGCCTTTCGGTACTGTAGCAGCGAGTATCTACTCAAGAGAGAACTAGCCTGCTTATGCCACTTATTCCGATCTAACGGATATTCGATGAGTTTCGTGAAAAACTGTCTCAGACGTCGGAGGCAACCAAAAGTTCAGAGTTCAAGTGGAAAGGTGGCACAGAGGAAATATTATTCCTTGCCCTGCATGCGAGGAATTTCCGAAGCGACTGCCCGACAACTAAACCGGTCTGGCATCTGCATTGCCCACAAGCCGTCGTCCTCCTTACGCGCAGCACTATCCCGGGCAAAGGATCCCTTACTCAAAGAACAACAAAGTAACGTCATTTACCGTATCCCGTGCGCTAACTGCCGTTGCGTCTACATTGGTCACACGGGTTGACGACTTGGGACTCGCATTAATGAACACAAGTTAGCTATCCGTCGACGCGACCCCTTATCTCTCGTTTTTGCACACGCTCTTGATTGTGACCACCGTTTCAATTGGGACGGTACTGAAGTGGTCGCCATGGCTAACACAAAACATGCGCGGGAATTCCTCGAAGCTTGGCACTCCGGTGCATATAGCATTAACTGGCCTGTTGACCTAGATGTCCACTACGAGGGTCTCCGATCGCCGTAGTCTGACTGGCGCCCACCGTAAGTAGAACAACAGCTAATGCGTGCCCGGACATGTAGGATCCCGCCGACACGCCATTCCTCCCTCACTGCCCTACTCCCAACCCCCAGTCCCCCCAACACGGTGAACCACAGCTGGGAGCCATGACACATATCCCCACATCCGGCACCTATCACAAAACGATGCACACCTCCCCCTCGCAAGGTCGTCTGCTTACCTCTGTATGCGTCCTCAACCAGCAGTGTGACAATCCCACCTCTCACTATTCACTTTGGTGCAAACAGCTCGAACATTTGCGAGCAAAAGTCTTTTTTTCCGACGGAATTCCGCCTTTCATCATAAACAAGGATCTCTAAAAATTAGGAAAACGGAGGGGCTGGTCATAAAGTAGAGTTATACACCTGGATTTGCAAGCTGATTACATCAACCCGTCGGCAAAGCAAATGAACAGTGAGAGGTGGAATTGTCGCACTAATTTTTCATCGCATTAACAGTGACATAGACAAACGATCTTGCGAGGGGACATCTGCATCGTGTTGTGATGGGTTCTGGAGTTGAACAGGGGCGGTGAGAGTCTCATTTGTGGCTTGCGATGCCAAGGGCGGGAGAAGGAAATAGTGTGTCAGTAATATTTTTCATGTGCATGCATACATTAGTAACCATTGTTTTTCAGATGTGCACCAGCCACTGAACCGTGATCAGAGACCCTCCAAGTGGGCGTCTAGGTCAACATGGCGGTCAATGCTGTCCGCATTAAAGTGCCAAGCCTCGATCAATTCCTGTGTCTGCTTAGTGTTAGTCATGGCGATCACTTCAGTACTGTCCCAGCTGAAACGGTGGTCAAACTCAAGGTCATGTGCAAACACCAGAGAGAGAATGGATCACGTTTGCGGATAGCCAGCTTGTGTTAATTAAATTGTGTGCCATGTTGTCGACCCATGGGACCGGTAGGATACTGTGAATGACATTATTTTGTTGTTCTTCGGTATGGAATCTTTGACAGGCGGTAATGCTGAGAGCAGGGGCAGGGGACGGCGGGGGGGTGGTGGCGCCGACTTGTAGGCGATGGAGATGCCTATTCGGTCTAACTGTCGGGCGATCGTTGTAGCAATCCCTTACGTGTAGGACAAGAAATGGCATTTTTCGCTACACAAATGTTCTATTAGAACTGTGGTCTCGTGGTTGCCTGTAACAACTGACACAGTTTTTCACAACACTTCTCGGATATCCGTTGGACTGGAACAATTGATCTTAGTTCGTTCATTTTAAGCATATGCTCGCCGTGACAGCACGCACAGCCGCATTGGAAAACTGTTCGAACGCGACTTTCTTTGTAGGGCACATGATACTTGCTCTTACAGATGACGACGGTCTCAACACTAAATTTTTCCATGTGCGCTGATTACGACGTCCCTGTCCCTTAGCCTTTGTACTTTTACATCCAGAAACGGGAAGATATCTCGGGCTGCCTTTGCGTGAGTAAACTGTAGGGCTGGGAGAACACCGTTAAGACCCTAGTGCAATTGTTCCACTTCGCAGTCTTTTTGGCAAGGAAAGTTTCATTTGGACAGTGAATCCACATTTTGGTCTGGATGCTTTAACAATATACTCTTCTAGTCATTGTTAGACTAATTCGGCCAATAGCCCCGATATCGGTGAGCCTATCGATGCACAGAAAATTCCATTCCTTTTCCTACACGTAAGGGATTGCTACAACGATCGCCCGAAAGTTAGACCGAATTGGCATCTGCATTGCCTACAAGCCGGCGTCCCCCCTGCTCTCAGCATTACCGCCAGTCAAAGATTCCATACCGAAGAACAACAAAATAATGTCATTCACAGTATCCTACCGATCACATGGGACCCGATTTAATTAACACAAGCTGGCTATCTGCAAACTTGATCCATTCTCTCTGTATCTCTCGTGTTTGCACATGACCTTGAG